ATTTTAATAATAGTAATTTAAAAAGTTGTTGTTATTGGCGTTTTATTAGTATTTTTCTCATATTATTAATATTATTAATATTATTGTTGTTGCTGTCACCTTTATTATAGATATATATATAGATATTATTACCCTATTATTACTAAGTACAGTATCATTATTATTATTATTACTAATTAGTATTACTATTATTATAAAAATAAACATTATCTTTAATTTATTATTGTTGTATTATTGCTATTATCACCTTCAATATCGTTATTATCACTAATTAGTTATTAAAATTGATATTTATATATTGTTATTATTACCATACTAGTATTATTACTATTTGTTAAAATAAATATTACTATTAATGTTGTTGTTGTTGTTATCACCTTTATTAATTAGTATTATTAATGTAAATATTACTAATTTATTGTCGTTATTGTTGTTTAATATTATTGTTGAAGTAGAATGTTGTGAGTAAACAGAAGACGAACACATTAATAAATAACTCTTTTTAATTCATAGGCAATAGCATTCAAATCTCTTTTGGTAGTGTGGTGGTCCTGTTTTACTAAAACATAATATGTACTTTATTTCAATCATATATTGAAGAAAAAGGATGCAAAAACTTAGATTTACATTAAATAACTTGTGGCCGAGTTGACTTGTGGCCGAGTTGACTTGTGGCCGAGTTGAATTGTGGCCGAGTTGGCTGTAGCCGAACTTTTTGTGGCCGAGTTGATTTGTGGCCGAGTTGACTTGTGGCCAAGTTGACTTGTAGCCGAGTTGACTGTGGCCGAGTTGACTTGTGGCCGAGTTGACCTGCACCCGTCTGTAGTAGGTCACTCTTTTTCAGTGCACATTCTCACCCACAGAGTTCCATCAGTATCGTGCAGGCAGGAATACACAACAGTCAATCCGATCCACGGCACAACGCCTAGCTTGCGCCAGCAACAACGAAGCTCCTATCCTACACTAATGCAAACCTCAGAGCTTACAGAAGGAATGGATTTATCTTCAGTTGTAAGTTCGGATAGCAAGTAAGTATTCATGAGTACCAATCATCCACTGTCTGTACAGTATATGAATGAGTTTAACAGTGTCTGTGGCTATTTTTACGACGGGTCGTGAAGATAGCCCCCAATGCTATTCTTACGACGATGGGTGGCGCATGCGCGGTTAGCGTCCTCGTTGGGGGAAACTTGAACTGAACGCATCGCGACTGTCTCGCTAGGCCTAGAGAAAGGCCAAATCATAGCTCAGACTCTGTAGAGGCCATTTAGCCTACACACAGCGGGCTAGCTAGGAGTAAACTTCGTGGCAGAAGTGGACTAGTGTACATCATTTAGCCTACAATTTATATTTTGTACATGAAAAACAAAATAAATAAATGTGTAGCGTAGGGCCTATCTCCCACATAAGAAATTAAACATGGAAAATAACCTAATTTCTCGACGGCATTGGCTATGGTACCTGAATTTTTGTAACACCGGTCTAGAGCGAGCCCCAACAGGATGTAGGGGCTGATCCAGAGATATCCGAAAAAGGGGGGGGGGAATTGAGATAACACCACTCTAGGGGGTCCGGGGACATTCCCCCGCGAAATTTGTTTCTAGACGCCCGAAAATAACTTCTGAGGCAGGAGCAGATCCAGGATTTGAAAGAGGGTGGTTCAAAATGTTTCCAAAAAACCCCAAATTGACTCGTCATAAAAATAGCCACGGCGTAAGTTTAATTGTCATTTGTGCTTTAAGTTTTAAGTTAAGAGGCTGTCGATTAGATTTATTCATGAATGAATAATATTAAGATAAGGTCAACATGTTCATTACCACAAACAACACACAGCCAAATACTTTGGCAACAGAAAACAGGAAGGTGAAACATTCACAAATTTTTGATGCATGCTGAGGTCAGGCTGCTAATTTACTTTTAAAATATTTCCGATCATCAAGATATCTAATAAATATATGTCCATCATCTGCGACACTATTTCAAATTAACTTATTTTTCTTTTCAGTTCTAGTGATGACTTATTCGATGGTAGCGGAGCAGCCTCATCCATGTCATCCTCGCCAACAAGAGTACCACGCAAGAGGAACGTATCAATTGGAGGAACAGAGAACGTCCTCAGAACAAGCAGAAGAACAATCTACACAGCTGGACGACCACCCTGGTATAATGCTCATGGACAGCTTCAGGGAGCATTTGTCATAGGTATACTTTAGGATGAATGTTTCCCATACCAACACCAAGATATCACAGCTGCCCTTGCAGTGGTGATTGTGTATTATATAGATACAGCTACAAGAGTTAAAGCATTTTTTCTTTAATTTTGTTTTTTAAATGATTTTGGCTATGTCCTGAACCACATTATTTCAATGATGCTTCTATATTTTATGGTATTGTATATTATTTACATCATATATTACATATTTATGTACTATTAAATATTATTATCCTTGAAACAATTTATTTGTATAAGCACTATATACATTTATCGTTAATAAAAAGTATAAATTGTGACTCACAACTGCAGTGTAATTTCATCTTACTATATAGTGCTGTTTTTTATTTGTAGGTCTATGCGGGGGAAGTGCATCTGGTAAGACCACTGTTGCGAACAAGATCATTGAGGAATTAGACGTGCCCTGGGTCATTCTATTATCAATGGATTCATTTTACAAGGTGATTTGCAATAACAACTTTTAATTAAACTTTTTGTGTTATTACTGATGTAACACAATTAAGATACTGTATATAATGGTTCGATTGATATTTGTGTTCTGTTGTCCTTTTAAAGGTTTTGAATGAAGAACAGCATCAGAAAGCTGCTGATAATGAATACAACTTTGACCATCCTGACGCTTTTGACTACGAGCTCCTCATCAAGACGCTGAGGAAATTGAAAGATGGCAAACGAGTTGAGGTAATGTAAGAAGTTTAAAGACATTTTTAAATTTTTAATTTTAAAACAGTACTTTGGTAAACTGCTGGTAAATAGCAGTGAGACAGGAACTATTAGTGTAGATATTATGTATTATTTTATCAATGTTCATTATTGTTGTAATTTGTTATATATTTTTTTTTTATAATTTTATTTTATGTTATTGTCTTAAACATTTTTTATTACAATTGTTATTGCCATTGTTTTTCTTGTTATATCATTATTTTTTATTATTACTAATATTACTATCAATATTGTTTATTTTTTTTAATTATTGTTATTTTTTTTTATAATATTTAATAATTCCTGTAATGAATTCCTTACAGGTTCCCGTCTATGATTTTGCAACTCATTCAAGAATAAAGGAGAAGGTTAGAAAATGCATTATATTTAAACATTGTGAATAAAATATGTTTCTATTCGTAAACTTCTGTATTTGGTTTGAAGACAACTTTCATATAGGTTTGAAAAATGATAACTATTTTCGATTGCATTTAAGACAATCAAAGTTATAATGCAGTATGTTTATGACTAAGGTTGCTTCTTGTAATTTTTTTGAATTACAGAAAGTTATGTATGGAGCTAATGTTGTGATATTTGAGGGCATTTTATCCTTTGTGAACAAAAGACTCCTTGAAGTAAGTATTTGAAAGTTGTAGCATTCCTTTTCTGTATTAACTTTTACATATTATTTTAATCTTGTCTTCAAAATGGATGTGCAAACTATAAAGCTATTACTGGTACAGCAATTTAATTTTGAATTTAACTTAAGGCCAGTGTTATAATTCCATATTGCATTGTTCATATGGTATGTATATACTCGCAAAATAGCAGAGGGTTGCCTATAGTGTTTTTGAATTGTTTTGATGACTTTAAATTATTGTTTTTTTTTCATCTGGGATTTAGATAATGGACCTGAAAATCTTTGTTGACACAGACTCGGATATAAGGCTGGCACGTAGGCTAAAGCGAGATATTACAGAGCGAGGACGTGACTTAGTTGGTGTTCTGAAGCAATATAATAAGTATGTGAAACCTGCATTTGAACAGTTTATTGAGCCTTCAATACAGTATGCAGATATTGTTGTTCCAAGAGGCAAGTCTTAAAACTATTTTTCAAAATATTAGATCGCTTTACATTGGTACAGACTTTACAAAAATAGTTTAAAACATTGTTTAATAATATGCAGTAATATATATATAATAATATGCAGTTTAATATGCAGTACATGAAGGATATACTCTAGTTTTCTATTTTAAAATGAGATTTGGAAATAATTCCCTTTTACACTAAATTCTAACTCTCACTCTATGTAAGATTATTCTCTCACATGTATTTCAATTAACACCCTCTCTTATTACAGTAAGTTAATAATCTAACATTTGTATATAGCCTTAATTTGCAAGGTATTCTAGTCAATAACAGGCAAAATATTATTAGGAGGGTAGTGCAATTATTCTAGCAACACTAAATTAGGCTTGCCACCCCAAAACCAGCATGTTGTCGCTATATGTAAAATTGAGTAATTAGCATATAAATGTGGCAGTACAGATATGGTATATACTTTAGTACAAAGACAGGGGAAATTTAGAAGGGAGACAGCCCTCCCCCTTTTTATGGTAAGGAAAAAAAATTATTGACCCCCAAAATGCTGCAGAGGTTATTTCTTGGCGTCTAGAAACAAAAATTTTTCCGACCGCCATTAAGCAATGTTGTCACTCGACCGCCCCTCCCCCTCCTTTGGGCACGTTTGGATCCATCCCTGAGAGAAGCCATAATACTTTTACTCATAACTCTGGCAGTAGTATGTTAAAGCCATCATTTTAAAGCTTATATTGTGGAGAATATGAATAAACTGAAAAGTCAATTTTTATTTTTTTGGCCATTGACACTGGTTTTAGGATGGTATGCCCCATATGTGTCATATGGCATCATCTGGGAGGATGCCCCAACATTGACTAAATCCTCAGGTGGAGGAAGTTTTTGCATGGTGTACTTTATTTGGATAATAATATCATTTCAAATACAGGTGCTGAAAATGAAGTTGCTATGAGTCTGATTGTGCAACATGTACAAGACCAGCTAGAACTTGTAAGTTAGAAAGACAGTGTTATGTATTGCACTGAAAATAGTCAATCTATTCTGGAGGCCAGAAATTGTACTGCAAATTTTTGAGCAGGGTTATTCTGCATAATTTTAGAATACCTCTCCTATAGTGCAGCAGAGTATAGCTTAGTTGCCTTCCAATCCTTGCATCTTTGATTCCATTCCTACAAATACCAGGAATTTTCTTTTTGTTATGACTAAAAAGAGCATCTCTTCTGAGGCCTCATAATGCTTAGAGGAGAACATTATTCAGATTCCAATCTAAATAATAGTGAAATATACATTTAAAAAAGTAATATTAAAAACGTATTCTTTAGAGAGATGAAAATGATTATAATACTTCTTATTTTAATTTTGTTTTCATTTTGTATTTCAGAGGGGATTCAATTTCAGGTAAATCCACAACTTTATACACATTTTGCATACATACTGTACCTGGGATATATGTTACAATAATAAAATAAGATGGTCTCAGACATGCAGCCAACTCAATAAATTATAAGTAATGATGCTGTAAATATAAGATAATATATACTTTTAGGGAAAATTTAGTTTTGTCCAAGAAAATATTTGTATTTTTTTTTATTACATCATGCGTTTAAACATCAATAATATTTTTTTCATTTCTACCTATCTATAGAACATAAATAAATTGTAGTATGACATGTTCATGTGAACTTTTTCCTGCTTAATAGTGACCCCTGCTTGAATTCATGATACCATTTTATTGCTGTTTTTAGTTGTATGCTTTGATCGATTATTTGGATTAAAAAAAATTACGCAACATGAAACAGAAACATCACTCATAAGTTCTTCAGTATTCTAGTATTATTGCCATCTAAAATTGGTTTTATTCCTATACATGTGATAATGCAGAGCAGATTTACTATCAGCACATCTTAATCAACCTCTACCAGAAACTCTGCATCAAGTGAAAGATACGATTCAGGTTCGAGGTCTGCACACATTTATAAGGTGAGATATACAGGTATTTGGGATTGCTAACGTCTCTATCAACTACACCAACTTATCAATATTAATAACTCCATCATCATTAACTCTTTACTGTCATCATCACCTTGCATCATCTTTATTTACCTATACCCCTAATGACCTCCAACATTATCAACACCATCATGCCCTTTGTCATCAACATCATCCCATATCAGGCTGTCATTATTATCTTCAACTTTATTTCTGTCCCTCGGTAAAATATTCTGAACTTGTAGTAGGCATTTAATTTTGTTTGCTAAAATATATATTATTGTCTTTAATCTCTTGATGTTTATTGTTTCAGGAACAAGGATACTTCAAGAGATGAGTTTATCTTCTACTCTAAACGACTTACTAGAATCTTAATAGAACATGCCCTTGCTTTATTACCATTTGAGGTGAGTGTTCTTATTACTCTACTTGAGGCATAAAGATACAAAAGAATCAGGAAGCCATTTGTTGGTAGTTTGCTGCCCTCATGTTTTGACTTTTATGTCCTACTATTGTTTGACTGTAAAATTATGTATACAAAAAGGACATTATTTTAAACAACTTTTATGTATATGAAATACTCATATGATAAAAAATAGTTTGTTAATTGATACATCTAATTCACTTGTTTTGTAGACACATGAAGTGGACACACCTCAGGGGTCAACTTATGTAGGCAAGCGTTTTAAAGGAAGGGTAAGTCAGAGGTTGAAACTGCATTATTTTACTCTATAAAGAGATACACAATATTTCTCTATAACATACACAAAGTGTATCCCTCGAAACTCATAATTATGTGTACTTGTTACCCTTAATTACTCCTAAGCTTGTTTATTTGTACTTGATTCTACTCCTACTCTTGTGTTATCACACACTTGTCTAGACTGTACTTTTAGCTTGACATTTTTGACGGATAGGTAACCATTTCTTTACATAATTCTGGCAATAAATTATATTTTAATATTAAGTTCATGCTTAAGTTTGTAAGTCTGGTTATGTTTTAAAGTCAACTGCAGTGCTTACAGATTGTAAGGGATTTAATACAAAATTTAAGATTCAATTTAGTGTCATATGGAATATATATTAATGATGCATTGACATAATACAGTTAATAAATGACACTTTAAGTAGTATTACTAAAATGACAGTAGTAAAGTATACTGTAATTTTACTACAGAGGTCACTTAATGTAAATATAATCTGTGTGTTATTCTTTTGTTACGTCTGCTGCTCTCATAGATTTGTGGTGTGTCAATCCTTCGAGCTGGTGAGGTGATGGAACCAGCACTATGTGAAGTGTGTAAAGACATTCGACTTGGAAAGATTTTAATTCAAACCAACATGGATACGGATGAACCGGAAGTTAGTTAACTCTCATCGCATTATTATCATCAGTAATTTTTTTAATTCAGTGGTAAAAACATATAATAAAGGTATAGAGAAGGATGCAAATAAAGACTCTTCAACCACCATTTGGTTGCATTTTAAAAAATGAGTTTTGTTGGCAAGTACTACTATATTGACCAAACCTAGTGTAAAGCGTAAGGCAACTTGTATGACATGAATGGTTAGTTTTCTAAATGCATGGAAAGTCGTCTAGAAATGTTCATTGTGGTCGAAAAAAATAAAGCAAATGAAATTTGCAGAAATTTCATTTGCAGAAAGTTTGCCCAGAAATCAGTTATTAATCACAGGTTTCATCATTGGTTCCAACCCTCCAATAATACCTCATCAATGTGTCTCCGTAATCCCAGAAAATTTGAAACTTTTATTCCTAGAACAGAAAGGTTTAGAAATAGCCCTATACCCTTTTTTACCAAACTTCTTAATCAAATAAATTAATCCATTCCTAGGTGTCCTTTCTGCGAGAGTGTTGACTTGTGCTCCCGGGGCGGATCCCGTCCCGGGTGGTGTTTTGGTTTAATATTAGTTTAAGTTTCATTAGTTTGTTTTTGAATTTTATTTTTTTTTTTTTTTTAAATTGGAAATTTTAATGTTTGTGCATATTAATTAATGTCAAAATTTTTAAATAACAATTGTAACTAATTAAAATAATAATAATATTGACTATTATAATTGATCTTTATAATGATAATGACTTATTGTAAATTCAATTTCAAGGTTTTCTATTTTGTAAATTGAATCCTCATTTCAGCCTCTGGCTGCTAAGGATTTGATATTGTAGTTGTTTTGAATTTATGAAAAAAGATACCGAGATATATAAATGTGGTCTGTCATTGCAGCTGCACTATCTTAGACTCCCAAAGGACATCAATGAGGATTATGTGATTTTGATGGATGCTACTGTAGCAACAGGTGCAGCAGCTATGATGGCCATCAGGGTGTTGCTTGTAAGTTATTTTATGAGTTTTGATTTAATTGTATTTGAAGACGCGAGAATCAACAAGTACAATAATATCAAGTGGATAAATTGTTGAAATTGGAAATATTTGAAATAAAATATAAATCTTACTTCCAAGCTTTCGTTACTGTCTCAGCAACTTCTTTATCCACTTGATATTATGAGCATTGGAATAGTGCCAAATATTTTTGACAAGTACAATATTAGGAGATCTATACATTCCAAAACAAATAAAAACCAAATCTAAAACTGGATGTCTAAAATGACTAAAAAATGGATTATTTCAATTCAGGTCAACATATATCAGTAATACTTGCAGTTGGTACAGAGGTTGTGATGAGATTGGAAGGGGGTGGGGGTGGGGGGTTGAGGTTTGATTCCCTTTTTGGCCATTTTATTGTGTAGATTGACCTGTAACTTGACGATGTCTCTTTCCACGCATGAGTACAAGTATGTACCATGTAGGTTTGAATCCCAATGAACTGACTATTAAAGGATTTTCATATTATATTATGTCGGTAAATCATTATAAACATTGTTTTTGATTTGTATGTTATTGAATGTTGATAACTTATGTAATTTTATTAATAACAAACCAAAGTTTTATTTTGAATTTTTTTCCCTCAATCTTTCAGTTGGCATTTCAAATTTTTGATTAAATCATTCCAATTTGTTCTAGGATCATGATGTTGCTGAACAGAACATAATGCTTGTGTCATTGTTGATGGCCGAGTCAGGTAAACATTTTTTCCGTCTTTTTATGCATATCTCTTTTACGTTAATATATAGAACAGTAGTTATAATATATATAAGTTATATTAAATAATAATGATAATATTAAACAGTGATAATTATTATGAATAACATGATTAATAAGAAAAATAATTTATAAACTGCCAATTACAATTTTGAGAAAAAGGATATTTGAGGCTATACTATTACAAAAAATGACATATAAATTGTAATTGGCATTTATTAAAAAATCTGAAACAAAAGTTATAATTTTAAAGATACTAAAGTCCTTTTTGTTTACTTATATTTCTCCTACACATTTACCTGTCATAGGTGTACATACTGTTGCATATGCATTTCCAAAGGTGAAAATTGTTACAACAGCTGTAGATAAAGAAGTGAATGAAAACTTCCACATTATCCCTGGCATAGGTAAGTACAGTATAGTACTGTCTCAACAATTTAGAAACAAAATTCATGATATTTAGGAGGTGGGTCCATAACAGATTGAGATGGTGAAAATTTTCTTCAATCTACAACCATCAATCAAAAATATTTGGATGCTAATATTTAAAAAGTTATGTTTTATTGCTTTAAAAATGATGATGTGATGTGATGTGATGCTTGATTGTTTATTTTATGTCATTTCCTTTATTTACAGGTAATTTTGGAAATAGGTATTTTGGAACAGATATTTTATGAAATGATACAGTATTTTAGAGATTGTAATTAATACTAATTGATGTTAACCTACCTTTGCTACACTGCCATCCAGTATTAGCTCAGACCACCCTGTGGCAGATGGATACATAACACCTATTGAGAGGATGCTAACCACCACATTCAAGAGAGGTTACAAAACAGTTCCCATCCCAGTTTTGCTGATTAATTGGTGCTGTAAAATGTCTGGTTTATAGAATTTTTTTTTTTAAACAGACTGTTAACAGACATAACTGTGTCTGTTTAGTTTGTGTTTTTATCATTGAATCTATTTTTTTGTTTTTGTACACACGAATGAAATGTGTAATATCCATTATTATGCAAATATAGTATCATAAAACGAACTGATGTCATTATTTTTCCATACAATGAGTTGATTCATAGTATTTAGAGTATTTTTACATAAATAAAATTAAGTGATGTGATATCTTATGTTTAAGAATGTATTGGAATATATTTAATGATTTGAAAAGGAGTGGATATAGTATTGTTGAATGAGTGATAATATTGTGATTATACTATATTGTAAAGGATGATGTTGATACTGTATAGGTAATATTCTAGAAAATTATGATGATGTTAATGATAAAGTATTTTAATACTGATAACACAGGTCTTCCTCTAATTATAGACTGCCCAATTAAAGACCACCTTTATGTAACCCCAAGTAAATACTTATCTTTTATCTTATAATAATAATTTTTCCTCCTAAAGCTGCTAAAGAATAGGAAAACAACAATGGTTCTAAAAGTGGTCTTTTATTTGAAGGGAGACTTGTATAATTAATTATTATGTAAATGAGGTTACTGATTGGAATTGGTTGGTTGAGCGGTTAAGGCAGGGGCGCTGCAACCCACAACCATAATATCAGCGCTGGTGCCAGTAGGTGGGGGGGGGTGGTTATGGTTAAGGCAAAGCCCCCCTCTTCCAGTCTTCCCGAGAACCTCCTTTTTTTTTTTCTTTTCATTTTATATTTTTAAATATTCTATTATGTTGTTTTCTTTTACTGTTACTTACTGTTTGTTAATTAACCGCAGCAGTGAACCCTATTTTGCTTTGCATTGTCAATCTCAATAGAACTCTCTAATTCAGGATATAATTGTCCTCTTTTTTTCCTCTTTTCTGGCGAGGGGTTAGGGTTTATGAAGTTTTTTTTTTTTTATTCCTACTAGCTATTTATATTTTGAATGGACAGGGTTGTTACAGCTGCTAAGGCATGCAAGTTTTTCTGAATTTATCAGATATTAAAATATATTTCATATATATTTGACACTGCATTGTAGAAATCCTATTTATTATTTTCTATTATTATATTTCTTGTATAGTATGTAGTGCCTTGCTCGATACATTGCTTATGTTTTGTCCGTACTGCCTCATGACGCTGCAAGTGATATAAAAAGAGGCATCAAAATTTAATAAGATAACAAAGTCATTATTACCATGAAAACAGTTCCATTACGTAACTGAGAAGGGCCAGATAAGCCAAAACTGTTTGTAATAACGACTTTATGTTATTCTTTTAAATTTTAATACCACCTTTTATATTACTTGCAGCATCATGGGCCAGTACAGAAAGTACAAAAACGGTATTATTATATTGACATTGTAAAACAAAGAGTTAAGAATGCACAATTAGACTGATCACTATTGCACAAAATCCTATGATCTGTCGTTCTGCTAGTCTCTATGAAACAGAGTATAAATGTACAGTTACCTTGCATAAAATGTTATACAGGGTGTATACTAAATGTCAGACTTTTTGAAATATTACATCATCACCTTCTTAAATTCCATACACGCCGACAGTAAAAAGTGAGCTGTGCCTGTTACCATGCATAGATTCATGCTAAAATATCTTGCGAGTGTATGGTACTCTGCAACATTTTTCATTTTTTCTTGTTTTTCATTTAACGTGTCGACAGATTAATTTTAATAAAAAGAATTACAAGCCTACCTGGTGCCATGTACTACAAAAATATACCATATACTGTAAGAGAAGACAGCTGTGTAATTCATTAAGATACAGGTCCCCCTCGAATTAAAAACCTCCTCCACCAAAGACAACTTTTCTGTGATCTCAAATTAACAAATGTCTAATTTTTATTGTCCCAAAAGTGATTTTTAATTGGAAGGGAGACCTGTATTTGCATAATTATTGGTAATACAACAATAATCATTATTTCTAAACTTGCATCCTTCAAAGAAATGTATAAAACATTTTAAAATAGTGATGGAATTTTGTTGTAATATTCTGTTCTGAACATTGATAATAATATACAGTATTAAAGTACTAGATTTGAAAACAAAATACACTTTCCAATTGTTTCAATTTCTGTAGCATAATATATGCCAATAGAAGACATGAGTGTGGTGCACACTGCACCAGACTAATGTGAGTTAGCACATGTCAGTCCACTAATAGTGCTAGTCTGATCAATTGTCGAAAACAATATGAAAAATGAAAAACTAACAACACAATAAACAATTTTTTCCTTTTATTTAATCCAAGAAACAATATCAAAATAGAGCATTTTTATATTTTCATTCTACTGTATTTCACTAAATTTTATTACAATATACAGTATATCTAAAATTTATTTTATATATCATTCACCATAAATATTTGAAAATCAGCCATTAGTTTTTGTTACTCAACTGGTCAATCAACTTTAGTAGAGTGAATGTTAATGTTTTTTTTATTTATATATTACTGCTCAGATTAATTACCTATGTACCTGCATAGAAATCATCAACTGAATAAAACTGGAAAGAACACTTGAAAAGTGGTCTCTAGATATTAGAAATCAGTTAAATACAGCATGTTACCCCTGTATTGTAAAACCTTTATTAAAAGCCCTATGGGCTTAATCTCAAGAAGAAGCCCATCTAGAAATGAAGCCCCCCTCTTTAGTTTGCAAAAGTAACCTCAAAGAGAAGCTCATCTCGAAATGAAACCCAAAAGCTTCTTTTCAAGGTAGATGGGCTTCTTTTTCAAATACTACAGTAGCCTGCATAAGACTAATACTGCACACAAAATTTAAAGAAACAGAAATCAGTAATTCAGGTGATTTAATGCTGATTACTACATTTTATGATATAGGTTGATGTTTTTCTTATCGTTGTCATTGGATAAGAATACTCTACTGTAATATAAAAAAATGATTTCTTGTTTTCAACAGGATTCCATGTTTGAATTTTTCAAGCTAAAATTTACAGCTGTCATTTTGAAAAAAAGACACCCCCAACCTTTCTTTAAAAATCCTTTTTCAATCTGACTACTGTACTTCATACTTTTTTTCCCCAGCATAATCAACAGGTATTAACAGCGGGATTCAACACATTGAATGATTCAGAGTATACTGTATATCAATTTAAACATAGTGATTAAGTACAGACTCGTACATCTCCTGATGACCAGAATGTGGCTCTGGGTCTCCATACTTCTTGATGAAGTCCTTTAAAAAAATGAAAAAAAAAAATACAAATTAATTAATTTAGAGTATAAATTTCAGGATTATTCAAAAAATTAAAAACAAATTCACACTCCAAGGCATTTAAAGTGCCTTTAAATAGCATTATGGTCCCAAATATTAATCAGGTTTGCTCAAGGAATTTCATATGCCTGATGGATAAATATGGTGTGTAAAAAAAATAATTTACTATCTTTTTACCTCACATTCTTCTAGTGTGGATGACCCCTTTGCAATCTTGGCACCCACACCAGACTCAAAAGAAGCATAACGTTCCTGTTGGTATAAATATGTAAAAATGGAATAAAATAGTATGAGATGGTGGTGGCTCACTGAACATTTCAATCAAGTATCAAATAACAAAACCATGTGCATATTTCTATCAAGTGGTCCTTATCTCTAACAGGGATTTACATTTTAGTAGCTTGGTTGGAAGAGGCTATTGTCTCTAAGCGAACTATGTTGCTCCTCTTTGGACAGAAAATTGATGAGAATATATAGACCACATTTTAAAAAAATATTGAAATCAATGCTTAACAAATTCATGCACTCTCAAAAGATCAGGGCATGAAAGAGCCATGAGTACACAATGTATATTCACTGAAACTTGAATAGTGCCTAAAAACCTAGTATACTAATTAGTTTAAATCAACACAGCCTTTCATAGTTTCTTATACAGTATTAGAAAATACTTTAGAAATAATGTAATGATGAATAAGTAAAGCACACCTGAACCATCTTCATTAATATTCCTTCTTCAGCAATCTTCACAGCATTCCTCAATCCACGGGCAAAAGAATCCATTGCGCCAATGTGAGATATAAACATGTCGTTCAAATGTGTAGATTCGCGGCGAACTTTCGCATCAAAGTTCAATCCACCAGGAGCAAGACCGCCTTGCTCTAGAACTGTCTGCAAAGATATACATATAAAATTATCTAACACGTCTATGTCAGTAATAATGAATTGTTAATTTGCAGTAGTAAAATACGGTGATGATCACCATAATTACTGTACAATACATGCTGTAGACCATAACTTCATTTGTTTACATAATAAATTAATTGAAGTACTGTTTATAAAACAAGAATAAGTTTGATCCTATGCCTCTTATGAATTACAATATTATGTTCAATTACCTTCATCACCATTGTGGTATTTTTGACATCCATGGGGAATTGGTCCGTATCCCAGCCAAGATCTGGTGATCCAGTGTTGGAATCTATCGAACCTAGCATACCACATCTGTAAATTGTAAGTATAGATAGCTAGAGGTCATATTATACTGTATTATGATCACATGTAGGGAACTAGAAATCTTACAATCCTGCCAATATGGAGTCATCAATCCTGCTCATTTGGATCATTACTGTATCATGATCACATACAGTGGACAGGAGAACATACATAGTGATTATATGGAGTCATATATCATGTTGATTTAAATCATTACTGCATCATGATCATATGGAGTGAAAAGGAGATGATCATAAAATCATCCTCATGAGTCATATGGAGTTAAGTCATATATGTCCATTTCAGTAATTACTGTATCATCCTCATATGGAGTAAACTAGAAGTCATATATCACGCTGATAAGTCATTATTGCATCATGATCATATGGAGTTAACTAGAGATCATAAAATCATCCTCATATGGAGTTAATTAGAAGTAATATATTGATCATACTCATTTGTGGTCAACTTACACAGAGGCCATTACTACATCATGTTCATATGGATGGCCAGCTAGAGTTGTATGGTTTGGTTCAACGTTGATCTTGAAATGTTCTTGTAAACCATAGCTATGCAGGAATGCTATCACGGTCATAGCATCTGAAAATATGTGAGAGTTGGGATCATAACATTTGACTCTAGTCTAACTGGAAGCACTTGTATCAGACTAATGTAATATATAATGACTATAAATTTGCTATAGCGCATAAAAAAAGTCAATGTGCTGGTTAGCTCGTTAATGTGAGATATTATAAATGTATACAGATGTTGTATATTTTGTTATATTTAACTCTCCCACCTCTTAATCTTTCATCCTCTTTTAATTCTCTCGCTACATGTCTTATTTGCTCTCTTAACCTGATCATTCTAGTCCTTTTTAAACACCCCAGCCCCATTCCTCAACCCTGTCTCTTGAATTTGAATTTCAGATGCTTGTTAAACCTAAGAAAGTCAGTGACAACATTGAACCAGGAACACACAGGCCTCTCTATGGTTCAATGGCTTTCAGCAGTTCAAAATAATAAAATCAATATTACAATAAATGATAATCATATCTAACCATAATCATATTGGTGCCTGGATGGTTCTTTTGGTTTAGGTTCAATCAAAAGCTGGCCAGTAAAACCTATCTTTTTCTTGTATTCTATAGATGTATATACAAATTAAAACATGTCAACATAATCATTGATTTTTTGCTCATGAAACAATGGTTCATTAATCTTTTATCCATCAATCAATCAATCAATCAATCAATCAACCAACTGGCACTGTTGGTATGTATATATCTCAAACACAACTGAAGCAGAGTAAATGATTGCCTTAAAAACCCAGGGTTTTGATCGTAAATGCTTAGAATATATTATCTATTCCACATGGCGAGTCTTGGTTTATGAATGTTTATGGAGATCATTACAACAGTTTCATATGCTAAATCAAAGGTGAAATACATGATAAAATAGGAGTATCAAAATTTTTATTTTAACTTAATTTATACAAGCAATTAAGGTGAGGTTTCATTGTATCCAGGACAAATGACCTTTGATATGTACTGTACAAGGTACTTACCTACAACCATCCTAAGTACACTGGCCATATGGTCAAGTTCAGATCGAATATCTGTGTTCAATATAGTGAAATACCCTTCTCGTCCACCCCAAAACACTATCCAATGAAAAAAAGTAGACTTATGAATATAATGACAAAACACCCACCTCAAAATAACTGTACATTACATTTTACATCTATTACATATTATATAAAAATTGCAATATTTTTTTACATTAATATTTTGTCACATACTAGTGTAAAATTTTCTTTGTTTCTGTTTGTAAAAAAGCGTATGTGTATGTGTTTCTGTTTGTATGAGTCAAATTGCTTTCATAGGTGTATCTATGTTGGTGTGTACATTTGTGGGTGTGTCTACAGTATGTCTATACATATATGTATGTATGTCTGTGTGTGGTTGAGATTTCATTGTGTGAGGGCTTGTCAAATACCAAAGTTTTCTGCATTCAGTTTTTTGCCAATCTCTAGGCCCTTTTTGATCTGTGCAGCGGCATAGGCGACAACATGTGCATCAGGATTTGTCATAGCACCATTCATATACCTGGAAAACAGTACAAATTCATTACAAAATCCCAATGAAAATATGAATTCCTTTCCTCTGCACTAACATTAAAGTCAGTGGCCTAGGCTCCTGGCTAAGGTTCTTCAGACCTTACTACTCCAGACCTTACTATCCTAGGGGCACATCATAGCACCCACTGGGGTAGGAGTGGGGCATGTAATTAAAAACAGAAACATACACAATGTGGAGCCTCCTCCATTCCCTGAGGAGTATGCTAAAAAAAGTTACCTACCGTGGATGTGCAAATAAATTGCAAGTATTCCACAACAGCTTCACTCCAGTCTGCTCCATGAGTTCTTTGGCAAGGTCCGTTATCTCATCAAGGTTGCTATTTGTTTCCTCTAGTGTCTGTCCTTCTGGTGCAATATCTCTGGATTTGAATGATTAAACACTTAAAAAGTCATCTACTGTAAAGTATCGTACATCATAATACTTTAAAAATGTTATTATTATTATTATTATTTTCAGTGTCACAGAAATTGGCCTACCTTCTGTATTTTACTTTCTATTATTTTTACTGGTACCAATATTAGGCTTACAGCAACAATACTTTGAGTGTTTTTAAAACAAATACAGTATAGCAAAAAAAAAAAATCAAATAGATGTAGCATTGTGGGACTCTCTTTAGGTGAAATTTATTCACTTGACCTTTACTAGCATCAAATGTGAGAGATCTAATATAAGAAATAGTTTTTTGATTTTTTTCATATTTTTAGTGTGTGTTATTCTGTGCAATATTTGCTTTGTTTCTTATATATTAGCATATTAGTATTTTTATTCATTGTACAGAAAGCTAATTTCATGCATTGTATTCATTACTGTATATATCACCAATAAAATGAACTTGAAATAACAATAAAGTATTTTCTTAATATTGTCATCATATATTTTATTGTTGTTGGACTGTTAATCGTTAATAAACCAAACACAATGGATGTTAATGATGATGGAATACACATATTTTATATTTTATGTTTTGAAAACTGTACTGACCTGGTAAAATGTACGTTATTCAAGAGTTATTGCATGAACTTAATTGCGTTAATTTGTGGGCTAATTATTCAATTCAATATTTATTTGCTCCACAAACCATTATTGGGCTATTATCCGCCATACAATAAACATTACATTATCAATATACATTTACTATAGCCAATGAAAGTATCAATAAAAAAATTTAACAATGGATCAATGTGTTCCAAGCAAAGCAGTACGGATGCATTGTTTGCAGAAGATGGATCGAGATTTAGAGACGAGCAAAGCTTAAGTGCATATGGGAGAAACAAAGATTTGAAATGTGCGGTTCTACAGGGAGGGGTAAGAAGGCATATATTCGGTGATCCCTAAGTGAGATAGAAGTTTGATGTTGAGACGGGAGAAAATCTTTGAGAATGTGATCGTAAGATTAAACAATTCAACAAAATACGCATTAAAGAGTGAAATATTTAAATCTTGTGTCATACATTGTAATACCATAGAGCAAATAGACGTTTACTGAAAACATATTCAATATGTTTCAAATATGCATGTTCACATTCAGGTAGGTTTCCATAAATAGCACATGCATATTCCATCATTGATTGTATATAAAATTTATATAAGAAAGCAAGAGATATGGGTCATATGCTTTATATATTTCATTACAGAGAGTTTACAAACACATGATTTAGAAGTATTGATAATTTGTGAATGCATTTTTGAAAGTGTATGTTCATTATTTTGCATTTAGATGGTGCAAATAGAACCAATGTCCCAGATAATTCGCAATGGATGGCAAATGATCAAGGAGGCAGTTATTAAAAGAACAAACAATATCCAGGTCATATGTGTATAAGAAGAAAGGACATTTAATCAGATCAACAATATAATTGATGAAACAAAAGAAAAGGTTAGGATCAAGTTTGCTGCCTTGTACCACTCCGCTGCTGATATGAAGTTTGGGAGAGGTAATTCCTTAAAAAGAATTTTGTTGAGTTCGTAAATGAAGCCAATTACAAATCCAATCTATAAGTGTATGTGGGAGTCAAAATGAATGAGATAATTTAAAAAGGAGTAAGGAGTGATGTGCAGTGTCAAAAGCATGACAGATATCATGTGAAATAAACTTTCTAAAGTTGAGTCAATCTTCAGCAGATTATCAGAGAAAATTATTAATTTGTTAAAAGTATTGTATGCTACAATAAATGCACTCAGATTACTGTAAATCAAGATCAAGTAGGGCTAAGTGCCAGCACTATGTTTTTAAATCTAAATTAAGTATAACAATTTTCCCCTAGTGTACGATGTATGCAGCTATACTAATTGCTTTATAAGTCATGGCCGTCTTTTATGTTAGTTTTGATTTTATCAACTGTTATGTGGCATGCAGTTATTGGTTGCTATAGTGATTTGATCAGTATAATGTGTGCATATACATTTATAATAAATAATAATAATAATAATAATAATAATTAATTAGCTGTGCGTATGCTGATTTGTGCTCCTGCAGTATGTGTTAACACAAAGCTAGCACTGTTTGAAGAACTTGTTTGTAATGCTATTTTGATAGACATGCATAAAAAAAATAAACATTTCTTAAAGCATTTGAGAGAATATTAATTACTTTTTGGTCGGTCTGTAGACAGGCATCCTGCCTAGTAGTTCATCTAATTTTGTTCCTCGAGTCTTTAAAATAGGTCTAGAATATTCCTATTAAACATTCAGTTTGTTCATTTATTAGGGTCCATTGATTCAAGGAATTCCTTAATTGGTAATACTTTAATACTGAATTTGAAATAACTTTCTTCGGGTTCTAATCAACATTGTTTTACGAAAGTAATTTTCATTGCAGTGTGCAATATCTTCGTGGTAATTTTCATTGCAGTGTGCAATATCTTCGTGGTAATGAAAAAAACTGTTTAAAAAATCAAGCCAAGCTTAAACTATGTGAACAATTACTGTACTTTGGGGGGTGGGGGTAGGCAAATAGCATTGGGAGTTGCAGTGATGAATTATAATTCTGTATCAGGCATTGCTACTTCAAATACAGTATTAGAATCTTCAAAGATGTTTTTTGGATGACACTTGTTGCATTAACACAAAATATTAACATGTACCTTCGTTTAAATATATCTTTATATTTTTTGTTATATGCATATGTACATCAAAAATAAAAGTTGACTGATCGATTGATTGATAGTTAGCAATATTTTTTTCTAATGAATAATGCATATTTAAGCTCAAAATGTATCACTTTACCTGTCATGGAATGTCCAGTACTTAATTCCCAGTTTAGTGAAGAACTCAAATGCTGCCCTCAGTCGCTGTTTTGCATTCTCCATACTGTCTGTACCTATTAAAAAAATGCAACATCCTTGTTAATTTTTACTCATCAGTTGATTATACCTCCTTGATGTGTCTGGATGATCTTTTTTTTTTATTAGGCTATAATAGTTACATTTGAGCTATTTTCTCCATTATGTACCAAAAAAATTTGATAGTTAACTGATTAAATATACTGCAGTAATAAAACATATAGATCAACAACAAAACAAACAATAAAAAGTTGTAAACAACTAGTAAAACTTGAAAATATTTTATTATTCTACTTCTCCACACCTCCATATATTTTATAAAATATCTCATAATGATGACTGCTAAAAAAAATCTCAATAACATTCAGTGGTAATTAATAAGAAAAAAATATTACCCAATTATAAATTTATTAAAATAACACTTACCATCTTCCCATGGTCTCTGGATTGTTGGGAATCCAAAAGGATCTGAACCAACCCCTCGAAAGGTATGCCAGAAACAGACGGAAAACCGCAACCAGTCTTGCATTGTCCTACCATTAATTACCTTTAATGTAAAACACATTTATCATCATTCCTTACATCATTGTTGTCATCAGCGCTGCAGCCATCACTGTTGTTGCCATGCAGATTCCCCCTGTCCTGTCGCCACCCCCGCCTCCGCCTCCGTCGTCGTCATCATCATCATCATCATCGTTAATGTATTGTTAAATGATTATAATTATTCGTCATTAAAATTGTATTCACTGAACATAAGACTTTGACTACTTCTGGCTACTATAAGTATAAAGCAAAAGAAAAATGCAAAACAATGGTGGTCTAGTAGTTAAGACACTAGGGTAGTTATCTGGAAGTTGTGGGTTCGATTCTCTACCGAAAACTTTTTTTTCACAAGCTTTTGGGAACATACTGAACATTCAAAAATGAAAATACTGAGTAAGTCAGTGTTTTTAGTTATTTTAAATTTTACCTTTGTTTGGAGTGGATTGTAAATGTTCATTGTAGACTTTGGTCAAAATAATAAATTAAGAAGAATTTATATAAAAATGCATTTTACATTACCTCTGAGGCATTGTAATGTTTAAACACCATTACTTCATCGGCACCAGCACCTGGTTTATACTCAATCTTTTCAATCCCTACAAAATTTGTTAAACTATTAAGTATTATGGAACATAGGCTCATAAAAAATAATTTAAAAAAATTTTTAAAAAAATCTTTTTTCAGCAATATAATTTAAACAAAAATCACTTCATTAACAAGCTCTAAAATCTAAGATTTAAGATCTGAAAAAAAAATTTTTTTTTTTACTCTATACATAAACCAAAGAAAGCAGAAAATTTAATTTGATAATTATAACAAAATATAATTCATTACAGTATCACACATTAAAAAGCAATTTCAAGGGCTGAGTATAAAGTACTACAGTGTAACGTCAAGATACCATGTGATACCACTCCGTTGCTATCTTTGCAAAATGCGTTCAACCAGATGCCATTTTCTCCACTGACAAACCATTGATTCCAATTTCTAATGTAATTATTAAAATGTTGTATCTTACTTTTTCTTTGTAAATTTTAATTGATGATTAAATGTGTGTTCGATAACTAATATATGCGAGCTTTTGTGTTTTCAGTACATTTTGATGGTAAAATATTAGATTTCAAAATGCCTATTGCAGAAAGCCTATAAAGTCATTCAGGCGTAATGAACGGTAACCAACGTCTGTTGACAACAGAGGGAGTCAACCTGGTGTCGTGACGACATGACTGTGGTACTCTATAACTGTACACTAGGCTTAGCTCTAATGGTTGGATGAATTATGTTGCCTCTAGTTTAGCGTCTGTCAAGTCAAAGTTAAAAAAAACCCATTGTTTTAAAATTGCCATCTAGTAGGGCCAGCCCTATAGACTTCAGTTAGGTATGAACCGAGGGTGCTTCAGGCTCCAATTGGGTGGCAGTGGTGAGCGATTATTTATATCCTGGTATAGGCCTAGCGCAGACTTGGCCTTATCCGATATGCAATTTTAAATCTATTGACTCTGCTGAGTCTGACTGCAGGTCTAGCCTAGTCTACTACTAGGCCTAGCTACTCTGAATCAGGCCTGCCTACTAGGCAATAGCCTAGACCTAGGCCCTTACTACCACTGGCCTACAACTAGATAATACAACTACTCCTGGCCTACCTAGGCCTAGCCTAGAGGCCTACCCTACGCCTAGCTAGTAGAGCAGGCCTAGGCCCCTAGGCCTAGTTATCTCAGTCTGGGCAAGAAGTTAACGCTCCTGTATCCTGTTCGGGCTAGGCCTAGCTAGCGGCCTGGCCCAGGGCCCTAGCTTGTTGTAGGTAATTTTTACCTTTAAAAAACTCGTTCCCACTACCATGACTTCCTGAACTTCTAGCTTTTTTCGATCTTGGTGGAGCAAAGGCAGACATCGTGTAAATAATATTATTATTAGGATGAAACCAAAAACGCCCAGGCACCACCCTCCACACACATGAACAACTTGTGTAGTTTTTTTTCTGTCGTCTACTCTCAGTTTGAAGCTGTTAAGGAGGCTAACAAAGCATCCAATCAGCAATTATTTGTTACACCCTAATATAATTATTATCACATTTGCTATATATAAGACGAATACAAATCAAAACTTTAAAAAAAATATGTTCTTTCTCATTCTAAGGTATTCATACGTAATTCTGATATTGTTAAAAAATGTTTTCTTTGTTAAATATAACATTATCATATGCATACCTTGCATTCTTTTAGGGAGGGTGTTTATTAGATAGAATAGCACCTGTCGATTGTAAACACATTTCGTCTCCATGCTTACACAAACGCTGTCGTGTGCAGTGTGTCGGCGCTTGATAAAACATCAATCATGCCCGAGTGAGTATGTCAATTCAAAAGTTTTAAACAAACTATAACGTTGAATTATCAATTCGAAGTCACATAAATGTGTGCACCAGATAATGTGTCGACTAACTAAGCCTAGACTAAACGCTTATTTTGACAGACTGTGATGTGCCACAGTACAGGCTGCTGACTGAGGTTAAAATTATGGCACCCGGACCCACTAACACTACGCCCAGGCAGTCAGGGAATCAGGAAGTCAGCGGCCTAGTTATCCATCAAAAGGTGAATGAACGAGGTGAGAGATCTACACGCGACCATGATGTTAAGAAGGAAGTTAAGGTAAAAACTAGCATAGGTGAACCAGACAAGAGTTCAGAAAAAGTAATTCAATCAGTTGACAAGGAATTGACATTTGCAGACGATGAAAACAACAAGCAAATAATTGAAATTGATCAAAACAACAAGTTTGTGTCTACCAAAAAGCAGACCAAAAAGAAAGTTTCCAAGCAGTCTACAATACCATCTCAAAAAAGAATGAAGAAAAGCATTGCCATTTCATACTCCCCTGATGGTGGCTATGAGGAAAGAAAGTTTGTTGCCAGTACAGTTAAACAATTTAAGGAGAACCACCTTGGAGAAGATATTTGGTTTGATAAAGATGAAAAGAACACTGACAGCCCTGCATGGTTGTCTCAGCGCCTGGAGTCAATTGAACGATGTCGTGCAGCTGTTTGCTTTTTATCCCACAGCTACTTCCAGTGCCCCGTGTCAAAATATGAAGCACGATGTCTTCTGGAAAGGCAACATAGTGAGAAAGCACCAAAAATATTCACTGTAATACTGGATCATGTTGAGATTCCAAAACAATATTCAGAGTTGTTGGTTAATTGCATTAGTTTGATTGAGTCTTATGCAAATCTTAGTTTAGCTGAAAAATCATCACATGTGATTGGTAGATTTATGGAAGATCTTGAAAACTGTGCATCAATTTTTGCGCCACACGTACCGCCGACGCCAGAGATGGACCTGACTGAAGACTACAAACAGAAGAAACTCTGCCAATGGACTGGAAACGATGTACAGAGTTGGTTGTACAACCTGGGAGTACGTGAATTTTTCCAGCAGAGTTTTGCAGAACAGGCTGTGGATGGCTTCCTGCTTATGTCCTTAATGGAATCCGATTTGACAAAATATCTCGCGATTGACAGCCGTGCTGTGCGTAAGAAAATTTTGCAGCAGATTTTTCTGATACTAGAGAAGGAGCAACGGTTACCAGGTAACTGGCATTTACGGTTACGCACGCAACGCTGCCGTGCAGATGCGGTATATCTTGTCTATGATCCTGCAGACGTGAGGCTTGCCCAAAATCTGAAGCAAGATTTGCAACGAAAAAATTTGCAGGTAAGCACTTTTAAAATTGTATGTCTTTGGTACAAGGGCTTCCACTTGAAAGTGATTTGTTTTACTTCATTTTTGGGGTGGTCTGAACTCTTCTATGCTTGTTCCTTGCTGTTTTTGCTTCATTTGTAAATTTTAATATATAGAGACAAAATATACTGTTCAAAATTTAATGAAGTATACACATAAAATTGTACAATGTTTTCCTAATATATTTGTTTCACAGCATCTACAGTAAAGTACTCTATAATAATACAATATTATAATATCTTTGTTCAATAGAGTTAATTCTGAGAAGAAAGTAATTCTATAAAAATATATTATCTTGATTTTTTTAAAGATTTTTTTTCAAAAGATAAATTCTAAAAAATATAAATTCTAAAAAAAAATATTCTTGAAATTTTTTAGATTTTTTTCTGAAAAATAATTGTGTAGTTTGCTGCAGTGATGCTGGTACTGGTGGTGGTCAGCTGGCAGTGACTCAGTGGTTGTGATTGAATTATGATTGTGATGTCAAAAATTAGTTTTTAGTAGTGTCAACTGTCCCCACCACCGGGAAAGTTGACAAGAAAACTGAAAAAAACTGAGGAGCACATTCCCCCTCTCTAAATCTGCCCCTGCATTTTTTTGTTATGGTCTGGCAGTTGACCATGTAAGAGTTAGTCTGGTGGAGAAATGATGGGATAGGTCATGAGCTAAAGATAAAAATGAAAAGTACAGTAAACTTACAGAATATAATGCCATGCTAAATAAGACCATGGAGGAAATATATACAGTAATAAGACCTACAGCTGAGTTATGAATGGATTGCCAACACAAAAAACTGCTAGATAAGACCTATACTAGAAAGTTCACTAAAAAGTCTAAACAATCTGGTATACTTGTACAGTTATTCAAGTGAATTGCTAGCACAGAAAGCATACAGTAGTTAAAAGTAGCCAAAAAAAAAAAAAAAAAAAAAAAATGCGTGTCAAGCAAACACATGCTCCCTTTGGGAGCCTGTTTTGAATATTTACCAAGTACAATACTAAATATTTACAATATGTAACAACATATGCTGATCATGGGCAATTTCATGGTAGCGGAATCACTATTTTGCTGAACTTTTTAACTTTAATCTAATGTCATATTTACACTCCATTCTAATTCTTGGAATAATTATCATATTTACATAACTATGGAATCCATCTATAATTCCCACCCTAGTTTTTTTAAAAAACCTATCACAATTTTGATATAATATCAAAAAATATGTATGGTAGCGGAAAGACAAAAAAAATAGCAATTGCTATACAGTACTCAGTACTCGTGTAGTACAGTACTTGTGCTTTACAGTACTCTTGATGAGTTCAACAATACTTAAATGATGACCTATGTATTTACAAGCCAAGTATACATTGTACAACAATATGCTCTCTTGCTGAACTACACTCTATCTTTGTTAAAGGTCAAAGTGTGTTAAATCATAATCTATCTTACCAAACTGAAACAGAATGTCATATTCATTCTGTTTGCTAAACACACACATTGTTAGGTCGAATGATTTAAGCGAACATGTGCCTAATGAAGTACTTCTGGAAAGTTTATAAGTTGGCTTAATACATGCTGCCTTCAGAAATAAGCCAAATTAGGCCTGTATGCTGTAATATTGATATTCTTGAGTACCTAATTATTTAATGTAGAAAAATGCTCGAAATTTTAATTTAATATTTTTTATTTGACAAAATGTCAATCACACACTGAATACTCTAACTGCTTTAAAAAGTGGGTTTAAAGTGTAAAGCTATTGGCCTCGATAAATAATTCAGAGCTGGTTGAGTTGCATAACAGTAATTGAGGGTATTGTTATGACATTGATTTCAGTTTTGCTGTTCCCACTGAATGAATAGTTGCTGATGAGCACCCTGATTGGTAAAATGTAGATGCAAAGTCTCTATTCAATGGAGGAGCATGCTTTTATATTTCAGCAACACATGCTACCTACCAGGCTTAGGTGCCTGAAAGCCAGATACAAACTGTTTATTTCAAAACAGAATGTGAGTGTGCAGTATTCTACAGTGTATGTACAGTACATTTTAAGCATGAATAGGCGGGACCCTGTGCCTTAAATTGCCTGTAAATGGTGCGGTGATGGTGTGGTGTTTCTTTTCTTGTAGCTTTTAGGTTCATGGTAATTTTTGGTTTCTTCCTGTAGCGCCTTGAGCACTACTGCAGTGGATTTGTGCGCTTTATAAATATTATTATTATTATTATTGTTATTATTATTATTATTATTATTCTTTTAATTGGCAATGCAGTTACTTTAGTTATTTATTGATCAAGAAACTGATACAGGTCATGTAATAGTAAAGAGAATATTAAGAAGCTTTCTTCAGTTGGCTAATGCTAGGCCATCTTACTGTGCAAAAATGCTTTGCACAAAGACAGACCTCCCGTCTAGAGATAAATGACGAAGGAGGAGAAGATGCAGTTTTTAACAATTTACTGTAAATCTTTTTCACTTCACTTTTATTTTGCAGGTTTTAACTCATGAAAAGTTGGGACAGTCAAAGGAGGAATTTCTGCATATCAACGGTCCACTAATGGCCCAGGCAAAAAATATCATTGTGCTTCTCACTGAAGCTTCAATCTCATCACCATTTGTCTTTCATGAGGTTCTGTTTGCCGACTGGCTCGGGAAAACTTTAGTCACAGTAATGCTTAAGAATGTGTGGAGTAAGATGAGGCCATCGTTAAAAGCAGTTTTAGGTACAGTATTCCCTGCATTATCCTAATTTTGATCATGGTAGCGAGGTTCTACAGTTTTTTACATGTCGTGGAAAGCAGCATTGCTTCAAACGACTTCCCGTTATCAGCAGATTATTGTAATATTGAATTATAGCGAACAAATTGTGCAAGATATTTAATTAAAATATTTGAACCTGTCCAAATACTGTACTCAACATACTGTACTGTATGTTGGTGCACCATGGACGCCTTTACGAATATTAGGTTATTAATTGATTCTTTGGCTTGGTACAGTACTGTAGGTAGTGCATTCCGTTCTGTACAGTACCTTTTACAAGCAGACACAATGTCTGTAAAGCTTGGCTTATAAACAATGGCTACACTGTCGCTACAGTGTTTCAGTGTAATCGTACAATTTAGCAGTCCCGACGCAATCGTGAAGGCTTCCCGATGCCACCGAACAATCAGCATCACCGAAAGCTGCCGGTGATAGCGTGTAGCGATTGAATGGAAACCAAGCTTTAATTTTTCTACAATTATTAACCTTTAGTACCCAAAAAAAGTGAAATGAAAAATAATACATGTTATTGAAGTAACTGCTTAGTTTATGTAACTGAGACATGTATTTGTGTACTATTTTTAAAAATTTATTTTGATTGTTGTTCCCATCCATTATATCTGTTCATTTTACCATTGTTTTCAGGAGAATGCCCTGCCATCGATTTTGAAACCAAGATGTATTCTGATGGAATGGATATTCTTCAGCACCATATCAAACCGCTTAGGAAAGTACCAGGTGTTGTACTGGAACAAAGTTACTTGAATAGAATGAGTGATGGCCTGAAGCCGCTTCAAATCTTAGCAGCATCGACCAGTATGTTCGCTGCTTCTTTCAGTTCCGTAGTTGTTTTTATGTATTATTTGGTAGCATATTTTTTAATTGAAATTTGTTCTGCTATATGGCCTAGGTTTATTCATGAATCATCTCTATCTTGTTTATACTTCATTTACAACTCGTAATTTTATATGGAAATTTTAATTGAAAATTAAGTAGATGTTACCTTTTCAACGATGACTATGTAGATACACTACTGACATTGCAAAGCTCTGTAAATTTTAAATATAACATCAATCTTTAAAGGATACTTTTTTGCCTTTCTTAAGATGGTGGTTGGTCCTCTGGTGATCTAGAACCAAAAGTATTCATAAGCTACCAATGGGACATGCAGAATAAAGTACAAGAGATAAAGAAGGTCCTGGAGGCCAATGGGATTCCATGCTGGTCTGACATCACTCCAACAATGACACGTGGTAGCAGTAGCGTCAGCTCTAGAAGCAGCACAATATCATCACTGACATCATCGTCAGAATCTCTCCAGGGTCACATCCAACGCAACATGAAGGCTGCTTCAATCGTCCTCTGCTGCGTGACTCCACGATATCTTCAATCGGACAATTGTTTAAAGGATCTTGTTCTTGCAGATCAACTGCAGAAGCACATTATTCCAGTGCTTTTGCGTTTTGTTGCTTGGCCACCAGACACTGGTCCATCACAAGTCAAGAAGACTCTGGCGAGGACCAATCATGTAGACCTTAGTAATGATAAACTCTATAAACAGAATTTTCATTCTTTGTTAGATCGTGTACGTCGACAACTTGCTCAAAAGACATAGGAATGATTTAACCTTCTTTTTTTTTATTTCTTTTTCATTTGGTTGCTTTGGATCACAATGCATATTAATTTTTTTTTAATATAAATTATTAGTAATTTAATCTAAATCTTTGTCAACATGCATTTAAAAAAACCATTAATGTATAATAATTTAATGAACCATTTAACAACTTGATAGCATAATAATAAAAATGTATTTTTTTAACTAAATGCAAAATTGTTTATATTATCTTAAGTAAAAATATGGCATACTGTATAATGCAGTATATATATATATACATATATACATTTAATATATGTATATGTATATATACACACACACGTATAAGAGACAGCATCTCCGCTCTGGAACATAGCGCGTGCGTACAGTCCTTTGATCTTTACTGTGGCATCGACAATCCAATACTAGTTGCGAGTACAGCCGTCAATTATTAGTCTATGCGTGCCATTCGTTTTATGGTGTTAGTTTTTATTTTATTAATTTTGGGTACTTGGGCAATGTCTCTTACCTCTGGTTTTTTTTTACGGCGAGCTTGTTACATGCTTCTATAAACTGCAATTTGATTTGTGAAAATTGACCAAGAAAATGAAATGTTATAGTAATTTAAAATTTACGAATTTTATAAAATTTCATGTTCTTATGTAACATTAATCTGTCATTTTGACAATGTTGGCATAAGGTGCCGAAAACGAACATTTGAGTTTATACAGAACATTTATTAATTTTTTCTGCGAAATGAGTCATGAACGACAATTCACCACAATTTTAATAAAATTAATGTTGAAATGAAGAATATATTTCAGTCTAATGTTAGTGCAAAATATCATTAGGCCTTTGTAATCACCGCACGACGTGCGACTAACATGGCAACTAACACGCGCGTGGGTAAATCGTCACGTACGCTGACGGTTTATGGTCTGGTTGCTATGGTTTTTGTGATGTTCAGCGTGTAGGGACGCATGTGCGCCTAGAATGTCGATGCCAGAGTTATAACCTTTTGATGTCCCGAGATGTGCGTCCTGTTTAATTTCCTTGGTGTAAATGAGCTATAAAATAAGGGAGCTCAAAAAATTGCCTAAAAATCCAAATTTGTTTTTCACTATAGATCAACAGTTTAAAGTCTTAATAATCATGTCCCATTGTATTAGTTCTGGAAGTGGTCAACAAATTGTTTATTTAACGTCATTTTGATAGTTCCATTCCATTAAACAATGTACTGTATGCACAAATAACTTTGAAAGGCAATTACTCAAAATCATGTTTATCTTGACTTGAGTACTGTACTTTTACTTTCCAATAACTTAAAGCTTGAAATGTCCAATTTTAATGAATGACCCCTTATTTTAAAGACCACATACTCAAATATCTGAAATACCAATAACTTGAATTTCAATTTTTGCTACAACTTAGACATTTTGCCACAACATGCCTCAAATAATGATTATAGTTTGTGCATTTCTTCTTTTTTTCATTGTTAGCATTGATGCTTTCTTTTTGTGGAATGTGCTGTGTAATAGTGGCATAATATGGTGGGAAGACAAGCAGTAGTTTGTTAAGGTCCCTCACCCAAACGTAATGCCTATAATTGGTCTTCCATATTAACTCCAAAGAATAGTTGCAGCTACTACTGTATCTCTAGAATCTACAAAAATTACTTAATATAAAAGTATTGCATGTTTTGGATATGAATTAAAAGACAACTGTGAGATAGAGGATGTATAATTAATATAATTTATAGAGAAATGTAATATTGTGCGTTTTAATGAGATTACATCGTTTGGTAACTGAGCAACCCAGTCATGGATCTCAAGTAACTTATTACTGTACAGTATTAGCATGAAAATTGATGTATGATGGTTTCTATTAACCAGGAGAAAAGACCTTTGAGACCGGAAAGAAGCAAACTGTATCAATATTGTACAAATTAAACCCAGTAAATAATTTGTCAATTGAACAAAAGATTAACTTGTTTTATTATTTATAGATTGGGATGAGTTATTATTCAGTTGAATTGTATTATTAACGTT